CATTTACATTTTGAGTAATAAAGTTTGCCTAACTGCAGGAGTGGCACATTAACACTAAACTTATTTTTATTTGAGTTTAAAGAAAACTTATTTTTATTTATGTACAAGCTAGGTGCAAAGTAATGATTGATAACATTGATGTAGTTAGGATTTTTTTAGTTTTCTCGACTTTATATATGCTTTTCCATTTTCCATAAAATATTCATCATGAACATTAACAAATTCCCCGCAGGTTAAAAAACTATTCACCATGCACTAAAACATGTTCGCACCATTTCAAATAAATCTTTGCATGCTTTAAAAAGAATTATTCATGAATTTTTTTTAAATTGTTCCATTCAAGAAAATGTTCACAACATTTAAAAATCACTTACTTAAAAAAATTCATAACAATATTGAAAAGTATTCACGCAATATTAAAATTTTGTTCACACAATTTTTGAAAAGTGTGCGTGACATGTAGAAGATGTTCACCATATATCTAAAAAAATGTTCAGCGTGTATATAACACTGCATATTTAAAAAAAATCAAACATGTATTTTTTTACGAGTGGATAAAGGCATTATAATCGTCATTACAAAGATTGCCAATTTTATCTGAACCCCCACATTGCCAATGCGTTGGAATGATTGCCAATTTTACGTGAACCCCCACATTGCCAATGCGTTGGGTCATTTTTCCCATCTGAGCAAATGTGTATTCAACTTGTATCCAAGAAATGTTTAACTTGTATCCATAAAATGTTCAAATTGTATTTGAAAAAATAAATGTATATTTAATAAAGAGAGAAGATAAATAAAAAGGGAAAATAAAACAAAGTAAGGAACCCAAAGAAAACCAGGGAGAAAAAAAGCAGAAAGAAAAAACCTAACGAGATGTTCAGAAAACCACACCAAAACAGCCTAACGCTAAGTCTGACTCATCCGCTAATGCGCCACAGCTGGTATTGGGTCGCGAGAGGTGAGCGCTATGCTCGCCTCGTAATAGGTAAGACATAAATTTAAGGGAGAAGAGTGCCTAGATCTGTTGTTGGACGAACGCTAGCATCAAATTGAAGAGGCTATGCCTGAAAGTGAGGGCAAATGGGCGGACCCACTCTGGCATGAGTGGTTTTTGTTTCTTATTAGATTTTTATAAACTGTTTTTAATTTATTTATTTTTATAAAAACCATAATAAAATCCCAAAGAAATACTGAACAACACAACAAATGAGAAAACAACCATAAACCTCGAACTAGGCTGTTCCAACTCGCCTTCTATTGGAGCTTGAGAAGAGAGGTGCTACACACGCTCCTCCTTCGCCACACGTGATGCCTCAAGTGTGATGTGTGCTTCGTGCTTCGTGAACTAGCCGAACTCATACCTATGTCATGTGTGTGATGTATTTTGTAGGTTGGAAACGAATAATTAATAAAGAGTCATTAACAAACGCGTTTCATAATAGCCACATCTGTACCATCAGATTGTGGGCTGTTACCGAGTCTTCATTGACCTTGCCGCCACGTTTCCTATCTGACTTCCTATTTGGAGGTGTTGACAACCCTAGCCGCCACTCTGATCAGACTGCATGTATTATATCTCATGCATAACCCATTGTCATTTCTTTGGTTGGTGTTGTTGTTGGGGAACGTAGCATGCAATTTCAAAAAAATTCCTACGCTCATGCAAGATCTATCTAGGAGATGCATAACAACAAGGGGAAGAGTGTTTCTACGTACTCTCGTAGACCATAAGCGGAAGTGTTTCACAACGTGGTTGATGTAGTCGAACTTTCTTCACAACCCATCGATCGAGTACCGCACGCACGGCACCTCCGAGTTCTGCACACGTTCAGCTCGGTGACGTCCCTTGCCTTCTTGATCCAGCAAGTTGTCGAGGCAGTAGATGAGTTCCGTCAGCATGACGGCGTGGTGACGGTGATGGTGAAGTGATCCGTGGAGGGCTTCGCCTAAGCACTACGAAGATATGACCGTGGGAGTAAACGATGGAGGGGGAGGGGGTGCCGCACATGGCTAACAATTGATGTTGTGTGTTCTAGGCGCCCCCTCCCACATATATATAGGTGGGGGGAGGAGGGAGCAGCCAGGGGGCGTCCCAAGTAGGATCCGAATCCTACTTTGGGTTTCCCCAAGCGGCGCCCCCTGCCTTATTTCACCGGAGAAGAAAAGGGAAGGGGGAAGAGAGAAGGAAGGAGGGGCCGAACCCCCTCTTTTCCTTCTCCTACTCGGCCTCCTGCCATAGGGGGGGGCACCACCCCTTGTGAGCTGGTGTGCTCCCCTCTCATGGCCCATATGGGCCATATATTCTCCCGGGGGTTCCGGTAACCCCTCCGGTACTCCGACAAATACCCGATACACTCCGAAACACTTCCGGTGTCCGAATACTATCGTCCTATATATTAATATTTACCTCTCGACCATTTCGAGACTCCACGTCATGTCCGTGATCTCATCCGGGACTCTGAACAACATTCGGTCACCAAATCACATAACTCATATAATACTAAATCGTCATCGAACGTTAAGCGTGCGGACCCTACGGGTTCGAGAACTATATAGACATGACCCAGACACTTCTCCGTTCAATAAACAATAGCGGAACCTGGATGCTTGTATTGGCTCCTACATATTCTACGAAGATCTTTATCGGTCGAACCGTTATGACAACATACGTTATTCCCTTTGTCTACCAGTATGTTACTTGCCCGAGATTCGATCGTTGGTATCTTCATACCTAGTTCAATCTCGTTACCGGTAAGTCTCTTTACTCGTTCTGTAATACATCATCCTGTAACTAACTCATTAGCCACTTTGCTTGCAAGTCTTCTTATGATATGTATTACCGAGAGGGCCCAGAGATACCTCTTCAAAACTCGGAGTGACAAATCCTAATTTTGATCTATGCCAACCCAACAAACACCTTCAGAAATACCTGTAGAGCATCTTTATAATCACCCAGTTACGTTGTGACATTTGAAAGCACATAAGGCATTCCTCCAGTATCTGGGAGTTGCATAATCTCATAGTCGAAGGAATATGTATTTGACATAAAGAAAACAATAGCAATAAAACTGAACGATCAATATGCTAAGCTAACGGATGGGTCTTGTCCATCACATCATTCTCCTAATGATGTGATCCCATTATCAAATGACAACTCATGTCCATGGTTAGGAAACCTTAACCATCTTTGATCAATGAGCTAGTCAAGTAGAGGCTCACTAGGGACACAGTGTTTGTCTATGTATTCACACATGTATTTAGGTTTCCGATCAATACAATTATAGCATGAATAATAAACATTTATCATGAATAAGGAAATATAAAATACCAAATTTATTATTGCCTCTATGGCATATTTCCTTCAGTCTCCCATTTTCTCTAGAGTCA